ATTGGCTTTTTAGACCATACGAAACGTATACAATCCCAAATTGTTTATTTATATGTGGACGAATGTCTCTTGTTCTTGTTTTATTTGTAAATTAAAGCAATTTTAGAATTATTAATTTTTTAATATTCTGTTTTTATTTATTCCATTGAAATGTGATGATAATGATAAACATATACATGCAAATATTATTTGAAGCTGAGCTTTCAAAAGGAACTTCATTATTATAATAAACAATAAACAAAACACCTTTATGACGTGTTCTGGTTTTCCAAGAATTTCAAACAGTCGGGGATTTTTTGCCTTTACGCATACGGTCCGGCGCAGTTTCAAAACAGTTTTCATTTTGAGAACCAGAACAAACCTTGAGTACCACGCGAAAAGCCTGAACAATGCGTTCCCGCGCGCTGTATACCAGAACGGATTCGAGGGAACTCGGAAAAGGTGAGCCTGCGATACTGGACGCTTGATACGAATATGCCACCCGCAATATAAATTCGAACGACCAAGAATAGCTACGCTTTTGAGCAAATACGCATTCGCATTTAGTTAATGCGCATTCGCATTGATTAAAGCACCAGTCGAGGATAGGGAGTGTTCCCATATATTTTGCTCTCTTACTCTTAGGTGGGTATAACGTGCTTACTCACTTTTAGCCCTGGTACATGCATATAGTTAGGTCGGAGTAAGCACGATATACCCACCTAAGAGTAAGAGAGCAAAATATATGGGAACACTCCCATGGGAGCGCTTCCATGACTTAGGCCCGTATTTATAAACAGAACTTACGTGAGTCCGACTTGGGTAAGTCGTCTTTGAACTAAAATCAAAGTTCGGTTACAACGTCTCTAAAGTTCTAGGTGGTTCTGGTGTTAAACTGGAATTTAGAGATAATTATTAGGAAATCTGTAACTGTTATTATGTACATTTACGGATTTGTTACTACCCATCTCTAAATTCATGCGATATAACCGAACTTCGATTATCGTTCAAGGACGACTTACCCAAGTCCGACTCAGCTGAGTTTTGTTTATAAATAGCTACCCTGAGTCGGACTTGGGGGCTGGAAACTCAAATGGAAAAACATGAGGCTTGTAATTTAGTACCACTCCAATTAACGGGATGGCGCTCGTATCGAACTGTCATGTCAGTTGTCAGCTCGTCAAAACTTCAAACTCAGATAAAATAAAATGGGTGTTGTATTTGAAGTAGACATGGGTAACGCACTAAAATTCTCTGCGTTGATACACTAACTCCGGCGCACTCTATTGCGCCAACTCATTGCGTTAACGCAATTGCGTTATTGCGTCACACCACTGCCTGCGCCGAATGAAGTCGATGCACCTCGGTGTATCGCATGATACCGGTGTTATTCAGCGCGGGCTGTCCTTTTATAAGGGCCAAACCGTGTTCAAGGCAATAACGCAATTGGGAATTTAACTAAATTATATGTTAAAAAATAAACGAAAATATAACAGTGTAATGCACCCATTTTTTATTTCATTGTGTTCGGATTTTATAAAGAATACAAAAATTTCAATTTATATAAAAAGGATATAACTTTTGTATACTAGTAGCCAATCAAAATGGGAAGAACTAAAAACTGACAGTGTACAAGGTTAAAATCCACAAAATTCGACCTACTCCTACAAAAAATGATGTGACATGTTGCAAAGAACATAATTACTTGATAGATTTTGGGTAATCTACATTACGAGTTGCATCAATTACGTAAATTAAAATTCTCAACTCGTCACGGAAAACGCAATCAGTGCCTGGCGCATGGCGCACCAACAACTCGCGATCCTTTCGACTCAATCGAAAATTGCGTTGCGCTGATACAGTAACAGCCAATGAACTGGAGTGGGGTAGAAAGCCAATGTGCATATTGTATTAATAAAACAAGATGCGACTCTATGGGCGCAGCCATTTTTATTTCTCATCTCACTCGGGAGTATTTATAATAACCATTTTCTGTTTCACATTGTTATTGTTCAATCCACATGCTGGTGGATCAGACAATAACAAAGTGAAATAGAAAATGGTTGTTATAAATACTCCCGAGTGAGATGAAAAATAATCTGTCTTTGCCCATAGAGTCGCATCTCAAACCTATTGACAAGCATTCTACCCCACTCCAGTTCATTGGTAACAGCTGGGGTGCTATTTTCAAAGTCGAGAGAATTCATTTCTCTCGAGAGAAATGTCATACGTCAACGTAAAACAGTATTTTTAGGGTCCTAAGGGCCAGTGTAAACTCACTGATTGTTTCTCACGGTTTATTTAGAGATAATTAATATTCTTCTAAGAATTTTAATCCTCGAGGCCTTTAAAAACAGCGTTTCCACATTGACGTATGACATTTCTGATGAGAATCTTGAGAGAAATGAGTACTCACACGGTTTGAAAATAGGTCCCCTGGGGTGCTATTTTCAAAGTCGAGAGAATTCATTTCTCTCGAGAGAAATGTCATACGTCAACGTAAAACAGTATTTTTAGGGTCCTAAGGGCCAGTGTAAACTCACTGATTGTTTCTCACGGTTTATTTAGAGATAATTAATATCCTCCTAAGAATTTTAATCCTCGAGGCCTTTAAAAACACCGTTTCCACATTGACGTATGACATTTCTGATGAGAATCTTGAGAGAAATGAGTACTCACACGGTTTGAAAATAGGTCCCCTGGGGACCTATTTTCAAACTGTGTGAGTACTCATTTCTCTCAAGATTCTCATAAGAAATGTCATACGTCAATGTGGAAATGTTGTTTTTAAAGGCAACGAGGATTAAAATTCTTAGGAAGATTTTAATTATCTCTAAATAAACCGAGAGAAACAGTCAGTGAGTTCACACTGGCCCTAAGAGCCCTAAAAATACGGTTTTACGTTGACGTATGACATTTCTCTTGAGAGAAATGAATTCTCTCGAGTTTGAAAATAGCACCCCTGGTGTATCAACGCTCATAACGCATACAACTGCGTTAACGCAATAACGCAACGCAGCGCTGCGTTACCACCCATGTCTAATTTGAAGGTGTATTGAATTTTGATTCATCTAGAATCTAGATTTATTTTTCAACACCTTCCAATTTTAAGCATGTTTTCAAAAGATGGGAAGATGGATTTCAGCAACAAACAATAAAGCACTCCCAGATATTGGTAGTAATGCAATTTATACCACATTAAATATGCAGTCGTCCCCCAAATTGTAATAAGTGTCTTAAGAAAAATGCACCATCACTGTACCAACGGTAAGTAATATTTACAAACTTGTATTTGATTCAGTGTTAAAATAATTGGTTTGTTATTTAAATTTCTTTTTGTTTTCAGTTTTTAAATGATCATTTTTGTAAAGAAAATGTTGGCCCTCCAAAATACCCTGTCGATCGATGAAATATTTGAGCCTCAGCCATCAATATCAAAAATTGATTCAATGCCATTGACATCAAACAAGAAAAAACCCTAAAATCTTCAAGGTTCCAAACGTGTGTAAGTTTAATTTATGCTCAAAAGTTAAATTTATTTATCACCCTGCCCACATGATGAATAAAAATTTGATAACTACAAGTGCTGTATAAATGAATCAAGAAAACAATTATCGGATGAAGAAATGCTCCTCAACCTAACTAGTCAACTCAATAACCCTATGGCAAATTTTATCCACACTCAAATTTGCTTCGATAGTAAAAAAGGATGCTTCAACCTCAATTTTTTTAAACTTATTTGCCACTCCAAGTCGCAAAACTTTTATAAAGGTCTTGAGCACTTATATATGCTGATTTTGTTACAGAAAACATTTTTGATAGGTTTGTTTTATAATTATTTAATTATTTAAATGGTGTAAATGCATATTTGTTTGAGTATTTCCATGTTTAAATAGACAAATTATATGATGCGGCGTTAATTTACTGTAATAAATAAAATAAAATAAAATAAATTGCATTTTATTTCAAGTTTGAAATTAATGCAAAAATATAATGAAGTAAAATCAAATAAAGATAAAAATTGGCAAAATATTTGACTAGTTTCAAATCACAAAACAGTCAATATGGTTGTTTTATGATTTAAAACTAGTCAAATATTTTTCCAATTTTTTTGTTTTATTTGATTTTCTTTATTACATTTTTGCGCTACTACAAAGTTAAATTTAAAAAAAAGCCCGCTCGTGGCGGCCATATTGAATTTTAGTACCACTCCAATTTGATAGATGGCAGCACATCGACTCATAATTAGGCATTCCAAACTGAATGACTACCAGTGGGTTTTGACAGGCTATGATGTGGCAAAGTTATGGCAACTCTGTAGGCCTGGTGATTTGACAAGGTGAGTGAAATAGATAGTTACATAGATTGATCATCCCTATTTTTTAAAATAAACATAAGCTTATGCCTTGAAGTAAAAATATACGCAATTATTATTTTTTAAATATCTATAGTCTGAAAATTGGTTTTGAAACACATTTTTGCTAAACTGATTCAAATTAATAAATATTTGCCAGGCAATATGGCTGCTCGCAAACGACCAGCTTTGAGCAATGTATATAACATATATGTATCATTGACCCTGTTAATGACAACATGACAACAGGGTTGCCATATCTAAACTGTCAGTACCCACTGGTAGCCATTTGGACAGGTCGTTGGAATGCCTAATTTTACCATTGAGTTTCCCATCTATTCAAGTAATCTATGGACTTGGGTAAGTCGTCCTTGAACGAAAATCGAAGTTCGGTTATATCGCGTGAATTTAGAGATGGGTATTAACAAATCCGTAAATGTACATAACAGTTACATATTTGCTAATAACCATTTCTAAATTCCAGTCAAACACCAGAACCACCTAGAACTTTAGAGACGTTGTAACCGAACTTCGATTTTAGTTCAAGGACGACTTACCCAAGTCCGACTCACGTAAGTTCTGTTTATAAATACGGGCTCAAGTCCGACTCAGCTGAGTTTTGTTTATAACCTTATCAGATCAAAGGCCAATAACCGTTCAAGAAGAAGAGGAGGAAGAAGTAGAAGTTTTAAAAATAAATAAAAATAAAATAATTTGTGGAAACACAAAACTTTGGCACGGTTTAATTCTCTCAACTTTTGACAAATTTCTTATACTCCGCGAGATGTTATCTGTTATGGTTTTGTTTAATTCATTAAAAAATAGTGGTTATCGTTTACTTCTTTATGCAATGACCAAACAGGAAAGTTCATTAATTGGTAAAAAGTCAATTCACAATGCATCTTTTGAAAAAACTAAAGTTGCACCAAAACCTATACGTTTTTGGATTGATGGGAAGTGTTTTAACATATATCCAATGAAAAAACGTACGAAGGGCTACGATAAAACGGGAGGTAATTTTTAAATTTTCTACTAATATATTTCACAATTTTATTAAATAATGTAATACATAAATATATTATTGGTATGGAAACCAATATTTGAGGTTTCTACTAGTTTTAACAAACTTCAAGTATTGGTTTTTTTACACCAACTAATTTACCTTTGTGGAAGTCAATTTAGTTTTCTAGATAATTTACCTTTTAATATGTTACCCTTTCCTCAGACCAGTACTCTTGAATGAATAATATTTTTAGCTTACCTGCACCTTTGTTCATGTCACTGCAATCTAGCCTATATACCTACCCTATTTAATTAATTTTATAAACTAATTAATAAGTTTTAATATGGTTGGAAAATTGAATAAAATAAATAATAAAGTCAAACTACAAATTAACAAGTTTAAAGACTGTGATACCCTGAGATAACAATAAATAATTTAACCAAATGTACATTCTTTTTTCCATGTTCTTATTTTTGCATTTTTCATTTAAGTGCATTTCCTAAATGATACTTGTAACCAAAATGATGTGGTTTTCATTACCAAAGATAATGGAATGATAACAAGTAGTCTTAGATTACCTTCGTAAGTCTGAAACTATGTTTTTATCTTAATACTTCATAATGTGTGTGACAAATAATATTAATCAAGTACTCAATCTGAATATTAGTAGATACTTTAATAAAAATTACTCACCAATGTTTGTGGAATGCCAACCAAATAATAGCAACATACAAGGTAAACCAAAATTTTCAAGGGCTGGTTGTACGCTTAAAAATCTGTTTTTGGTCATATTTATTTTTAGGAATTCTTTCATCTTTATTAAAGGTATTGCTGGATAATTTTAGTTCGCCTTGTATATAACTACTTTTCTGATTTTTTTACTAAACTTATAGGTACATAAAATATGTACCTAAGTATATAAAATATTTGTTAAAGTAATTTAATATTTTTTAAGGTTTTATTGCAAGAAATTAAAATTTCAAATGATGAATGATATTGAAAACATGATGGAAGAAACAAATACGCACATATCCATACCAAAAATTGGTGAAATTGACAAACTAAAGATTTTGGGAGATAACAAGCAACAAATAAAAAACGCTTTCCAGGGGATTCTCTCTTTAATTTCTGATATTAGGAATGAGACCAGACCTTTACAATTCCTCTCTATTCCTCTCTGCAATGAAGAAATTAAAAGTAATTTTATGGAATTCAAGAAAAAGGTGTTACAAGAAAAAGATATAAAAGGGATTGATGAAACTTTATTCATAAGTCCCCTTAAACTTCATCTTACAGTAACTGTTATGGTACTGATAGATCATGGTGAAAAGCAAGAAGCAATTAAAACTTTACAGGATTATCAAAAAAATGTTCTAAAGTAACTCAATCATACTTAACTATTTAAAATAATTTCTAATGCGTTTTATTGTATTTTAGGCCATTAATGGAAAAAAATGGACCATTAAAAATCCAAGTAACAGGAATTGAATGCATGAACAACAAATATGAGAAAGTTCATGTGTTATATGCAAAAGCCAAAATAATTAATGAAACTGTTGCATTGAATTTGCAGAATGTTGTTAATGGATTATCGGATTATTTTTATGAAAGGGGTATGTATTTAAAAATATTAGCGGGTGATTCTACGATAAGAGGTATTTTTGGTGGCAATGGAGGAAAACATCATTTGTTCGATGAATTAGTTTAAAATTGTTAGATAATCTTACAATAAGTATAGTGTGCTTTAAAGTCAAGTAGGATATATTATCTAATTTTGTTTATAGTCTAATCAACAAGTTCAAAAGCGTCTTTTTGGGACATACTATTACGAAAATTATGTTCAATAGCTCATTCGATTCGGAATAATGTCTAGATCAATGTGAAGAAAAATTTTGTAGTGCATAAAAAATTGCAAAAGTTATAAACAATTAAACACCTCAAAAACATGGTGTTTGGTTTTTCGCCTATAGTTTGTAAACAATAAATATTTTTGGATTTTTCAAAAAAGATCCTTAAAGAGGAGGAAATTTGCTATAAATAAATTCCGACTCCCGGAACTGTACCTCCATTATTTATAATTTTAATTTAACGCTCAAAGTAGCCTTCCGCGCGCCATTTTTAGGTTGCGCACACGGCGTCGAAACCGAGTACATCACATAAAATAATTTTTTTAAGTTAATAAAATTAAATTCAAAAATTTTAAAAAATTACGGTGTATTCTAAACACTTCATTCCCGTTGGATTTTTTCATAAAAATTAATTTTCCAACAAAGTAGGTTATTGTTAATTAACAAAATTTTTAGAATTTCTCTCATCATTACAAATTGATAATAGTATATTATTAAACGAGCAATTTATGGTAGCCATTATTCACGAGTGAATAATGGCCATAAATTGCAAGTCTAATACTATACTTTGTCCACGACCATTATGGTTTCTTTATAATAAATAAAAGTTAAGTGTAGAATGGAAAGTTTTTATTTTACATAGGTAACTAACTGTTGTTTTTTCGACTTTTCAATTTTTCAATTTTTCACTTTTTCGTTTTTTCGATTTTTTGATTTTTTTTTTTTCGATTTTTTGATTTTTCGATATTTAGATTTTTCGATTATTCGAATTTTCGATCTAGAAAATATCCTTATAAAAAGTATCGCCCATCTTTAGTTACCGGAATAGATATCGGAATTTTCATCACCAAGAAAAACCATTAAAAAACCAAAAACAGTTAATGATATAGATGAAGCTGCACAAGAATCAAATTTTATTTTTTTATTATTAGATAGCTATTTTTGTTTCTGAGTTGTGTTCATTTACAGGCTCAATTTTTTTCCGTTTCTCCTTTTTGATTTTATATGGGGTTTCAAGTTGTTTTTGACTTATTTCGACGTAAATCACAACAACACACTTTTTTAATAAAGCAAACAAGTGTTAAGAGGTATATGTACGTGTAAACTACAATTACAAAAAATTGATATGAAACCCATGAAACCACCAACAAAAATGTAAAGCTAGCTTCCGTACTAGAACATGGTGTCATTCGTCGAGATAATTTATCGTTTTGTTTAATAGATCAAGAAATGTAAATATTCCCCTGTTATTTTTTATAAAATTATAAGAGAAATAAATTTTTTTCTAAATAGTATAGTTTATTATTTTGTAGAAAAACAAAATTTCGAAAATTTTAGTAATGTTTCAGAAACAACCGTTATTAATAATAGGTACCATTTTCCTTAATAAGGTAGAAATAAAATATAAACTATTTCCACGATTTACAAAGGCCTACAAAAAAATTATAGGTATTTTCCGCTATCCTATAAAATTTATATTTTCTGACTCAATTTCAAAAGGTTGAAGGAATTCCAAAACACCTTTTATGGCATAATAATTATTTTCAATTCTACATACTATCTTTAGCTGCTTTTAAAAACGTTCTAAGAAAGTCCAATCAGACCAATTTAATCCCTAAACTATTCCACACTTTTAAAATTTAATTACCTAAAAATATTAAAAACTATTTAAAATAACTTGTTTAGCAGACTGTACAATAACTATCTTAGTCACACGTAGCGCGTTCTCTGTCTGGGCGTCGAACACCTCTAGAAATTTGATGAACTGTATTAAACGAGCAATTTATGGTAGCCATTAGTCACCCGAGTGAATAATGGTCATAAATTGCGAGTCTAATACTGTACTTTGTCCACGACCAAATAAAAGTCAAGTGTAGAATGGAAAGTTTTTATTAAACATAGGTAACTGTTTTTTTAATTTTTCAATTTTTCGAATTTCTGATTTTTAGATTTTTCAATTTTTCGATTTTTCAATTTTTTAATTTTTCGATTTTTCGAACTTTTCAATTTTTTGATTTTTCGATTTTTCAATTTTCCAATTTTTCGAATTTCTAACTTTTCGATTTTTTGATTTTTCGACTTTTCAACTTTCCGATTTTCCAATTTTTCGATTTTTTGATTTTTCGATTTTTAATTTTCCAATTTTTAGAATTTCTAACTTTTCGATTTTCCGATCTTCCAATTTGCCAATTGCCAGAATTACAAAAGCGTGAATTATCATAATTCACTCAGTGATATATGGGTACCATATGCTTTTAGTTAGAAGATAGAATATTGATTTATTATTAAGTGGTCGTGGACAAAAATATTAAATAATTACCGTAAATTTTTTTTGCTTCGTGGAGCTCTTTTTATATACATATAAAACAAAATAGCTTCATAAAAGTTTAAAAAATGTTAACACTTTGTTTATAATAATTTTTTAAAGTTTACAAAAACAGAAAAGTCACAGTGGTGCTATAATTTTTTATATAATTTATTATAATATTACTGTTTTAATGAGAAAAAACATGCGTTAATCGTACTGGCTAGCCGACCGCCGGCGGTAGTTGAATTTAATAAAACGAAAACCGTCTTCCGGCGGCATGGTCTTATCACATATAAAAAAGCCGCCGAAAATCTAACCTGATTGTTGATCAGGGCGGCATGCTATCAGTGCATTGATAAATGCCGCCGGACGACGGTCTACTGTATTTAAAACATTGAATGCCGTCGGAGAAATTGACATAACCTTATTTCTTCCATTTTTATGTGAATTTTCACTTGTTGAATATTAAATAAAACTTAGACACATGGAAACGATCAATTTTATTATAGAACTAAGCACATTTAAAATAAAAAAGGTACTTCTAATGAAAATATATTTTTGATTCAATTGACCAGTATTTATGTATTCGGAACATTTATTTGTTGTGCTGGATGTGCCAATCTCTTTTTTCGTTTTGCGCTTAACCCAATGACAGTATTAGAACGACCTTTCGGCCTACCTCTTTTTTTTTTTCATGGCAATGGGAATTTTTATTTCATCTATATTTAGAACTGATGCAGTGCTTGTGGAAGGTACGGAATGGCCATTTTCTTCTTTTGAAACCACATCTAATACTCCAATATCACAATTTGTAGCAATATTTGGATCGTTATTGTATATAATTGGTAAATCATTATGTGTGACTTTTATAATAGTAATATCACTTCGTCCCACATCTGAAATGCAATTTTCATCAACATCCTGAGCTACCTTGCCCGAGCTTGTGTGCAGTGCACTAAGTTTGAGGTGTTAAAGAAATCACACTTACCTTGCTAATAGTGTGGTTATGCTTAGTTCCTGTACTTATTATTTGTAGCTTGGTACCACACATTCAAGCTCTTAAAGTGATATGGGCATTGCATCCAGACCTGTACGTACTAAAAAAAGAGAAATCCAGCTTTTTTATTTGCGTAAATCTTAAATCTCCAATAAAAGTGGTCTCAAATTATTACCTTGTCATTTTCTTTCCTTTTCCAGTCGGGTTGAACGTTCTCCCACCATTAATGCATGTATATTTCAATTGGTAATATTTTAATTTTGGATCTAGAAAACGATCGGTTTTTTTTTCTGGCCGCTGAAATTGTTCTGGCATCTCTCTTCCAGAAGGATACAAATTCTCATTTGGAATAATTATCTAAGTCGTTCAAAAAGTCTTCATAAGTTTCAAATACGTATCCTAACTTCATATTTATCACTCAGGAACAATATTAATATTCAAAAAGTGAAAATTCACATAGGAATGGAAGAAATAAGGTTATGTCAATTTCTCCGACGGCATTCAATGTTTCAAATACAGTAGACCGTCGTCCGGCGGCATTTATCAATGCACTTATAGCATGCCGCCCTGATCAACAAATCAGGTTAGATTTTCGGCGGCTATTTTATATGTGATAAGACCATGCCGCCGGAAGACGGTTTTTGTTTTATTAGATTCAACTACCGCCGGCGGTCGGCTAGCCAGTGCGTTTATTAATTAAAAGAAAAAAAATTTCCTCTATTTGTTTATAAATTTTTTATAATTAAATGGAGTATTTCAATTTTTTTAAATTTTTTTTACAACTTTCTAGACAATTACCAATTATGATTTTTAAAAAAAAAATTTTCTTAATAATAACTTTTAATTGTTTATAATCGTTTTTTTAAATATATCTATTGTTTAAATTATTAGTTAAGAAATGTGTTTTTTTTTAAATCATAATTGACAGTCCTCTACAAAGTGACAGCAACATTTTTTTTTATTAAACTTAGAGCATTAAAGTTACGGAAAAAATTGCAAAAAAGTTACAAAGTTGCAGCAGCTGATCCATTTGTTGACTTAAAAGTTGATATAACTTTTGAACTATTGGAGATACGACAATAAACATTCAAGTCATTTTTGTAGGCAATGAAATTATCTCTCAGATAAGTCATTTGTCAATTCCGTACCTATTGTCAATTTGTTGTTTTTTATATTCGTATAAATTTAGCACTTTTCCATTACGGTCCATTTTAGAAAAATTATGTATAAACAAAAATTATAGAGATCGATATCTCAAACAACTTTTATTTCAACAATTTTCATGAAAATCAGAATTTTGCACATTTTGTCAAATTTCTCGAATACGGACCATTTCAGGAAATTTTGACATAAAGCAAAAATTATAGATAATAATATTAGAAATAACTTTTATTTGAACAATTTTTTTCTCCAAACATAAATAACAGATATTCTGTAACAATTCCTTTATATTTAACGGCC